AACTCTCGGAATGTTTTCCAAGATATCCATAAACCAAGCATTTGGTGTTGAACTAAAGATTTTTACCATGAGTGCTTTCTTTGTCGCTTTAGAAACATAGGGGTCCTTGTTTGGATTCGTCATTTTTATCCTATAAGAAATGGGTTTATTTGGCGCATTAGCAGGAGTCGCATCTAGATTTTTACCCGCAGTGGGAACAATAGCCAGAGGTGTATTTGGAGTTGGAAGGAAGATTTTGAGTACATTAGGTATACTGAAAGAGAAAGCACAACCTATTATACAAACTGTACAGAAAGGTTGGGATGTAGCACGAGATGCAACAAATCTTATTCCAAATCCTGAAACAAGAGGAAAAGTTCAAGGATGGATGGACAATGTAGGAAGACAAGCAGGAAACTATTATAACAAAGCAAATGACTACTATAACCAAGCAGGACACTATATGGACCAAGGTGAAAGATTCTTTAACAGAGGATATAACCATGCACAACAGTGGGTAAACAATAACCAACCTCAACCGCCTCAAACGTGGGGAATGTAAAGTTTTTTATTGAGATGAAATGAACAATGCAGCATTGAGACAAATAAGTTCAAGATGGATTTGTCGGCTTCCAGCAGTTACACCACGTGTTTGTCAAGTTCTTCCTATACCTCAGGAAGTTTTAGACCGACTTAAAAAACCTCAACAACAGTTGAAAACAAACCAAACTAAAATTTTTTACTGAGATGAAATGACCGAAGAAGTTGAAACGGTAGATTTGACACCACAAACAAAAAGTTCAGAACCATTGTCAAAACCTGTCAAAGAACTTACAGATGAAGAGAAAAATTCAATAATAGAAAGTGCCAGGTCTGGAAATACAAACCCTAACTATAAAGTCACTTTTCATAGAAATGGAACGGCTAGTATCTCAAAAAAGAAACAGACCCTCACAAATAAAATATTGAAGTCGGAAGGAATTTTCGAGACAACAGATGGAAAAGTTTACTTCACTGACCAACAGTTCATTATAGAACATCTCATTGACTTAGAGTCGAAATATTCTAAACTTTACAACAAACACAAAAAGTTGAAAGGAAAACAAAAACAAATGGCATATGATATTTATGAAGATGTTGACGACACAACTAAACCTGCAAGTGAGGTAAAGTCAGATGAACCGAAAAGTGACGAAAAACCGATAGAAGAAGAAAAACCAAAAACTGAAGATAAACCAAAACCAAAGTTTAGTTTGGAAACTAAACCAAGTCAACCTTCATTAGCTGGTATGGGTTGGCGTCAAAGACTTATGGCAGCAGGCGGTTATGTAAAGTAAAGAAAAAAACATTTTTTTTATTTTTATAGAAATGCCCCCGTATAGAATGGATAGAAAATCTGCTAGAATAAAAGCAGAGTTAGAAAGATATGGTTGGAAAGTTTCGAAGAATTTTAAATATAGGAAGGGAAGACCCATAAAAGTCTATGACAAATTGTCTGGTCTTCGCTACGAAATGGAATTGGAAACAGCACGCGCAAATTATCCAAACAGACTAGAGAGGTTAGAAGAAGAACGTCTTATGGACATGCCTTTCGATGTTTCTGAACCGCAAGTTGAAGGACACGACGGCTTTGCCAGATTCTATTGGAAACATGACGAACAATTGCATCCTTTGAGAAGGAAAAAAGGAAAAGGTGAAGACGCACATGCTCCCATGGAAAGAACAAGATATGCATATGAAAAGTACCGTGAAGTTAGAAGTCAAATTACATCTGGTCGAACCTTTACAGTAAACTTTGACGAAGGAAAGAACAAAGAAGGCTTCATGGGTGTACTTGCTGCCATACAAGACGGAAATAAGAAAGGATACAATCTCAGACTAACCATAACAGATTTGGACGGTCACATTTACTATGCACATGGCAATGTCACAACAGCCGCACAACTTCTTGACGCTTTCAAGACTACAAAGAGAGAACAAATGTTTGACTCCGACTCAGACATTTTGAATGCAATTGAAGGAATTGCAAGTGTCAAGTTCGAATGGTACCAACCTAACCCTCAAGCAGTCAGACAACATGCTGGATACTTCCCGTTCATAAATAAGTCTGACATTGACTTGACAAGGTATGGAATTTACAATTCAATTGAAACAATTGTCAATGAACCTTGTATTCTTACATGTCTCAGGAACTCTGGTCTTGTTTCAGAAGAGAAGATGAAGTATCTTGAGTCATGTGTGAAGACAAGGTACATTCTCAGAGGTCAATTGGCAAAAATTGCACCGTTGGCAAATGTCAATATCCGAGTCAACATACCTACAGCTAAAGGTTCTTCACATGACGACTATGTTGTTGAGTTCAATTTACCATGGTTGAAGATTGCAATTGTCCACAACCACTTCATGTTGAACGAAAGTCTTACAAACCCATTGTTCGGAAAAGGTAAGTGTAACATTGTCAGAGCTGTTAACATTCTTTTCGAGAAAGGTTTGTTGGAACCAATTCCAGATGACAAGCTGACAGAAACTTTTGTACCAAAAGACGAAACAAACTTTTCATTGTTAGCAAGACCAAAAGTTGTTCCAGACAAAGTTCTAGTACAAAAGAAGTACACAATTCCACAAGGGGTTGGATTGTTCGGATACCAACCTGAACCAGAAGAACTTCCAATGAGGTTGCAAGAACTTCAAGATGCTATAAACAAACTTCCATTGAGACATCCAATTGACGTCAAATTGTATTGGAGAGCATCTGAGTTAGGTCAGAAAATTTTATATGAAACAGGTTGCTTCGACGATGTTTATGAGATAACAGGAGAAGTTTCTCAGAAGATAAGAGACTCACTTGAATTTCCACAAACTGGACCCATTGGATGCGATAAGTTCGACTCAGATGAAAAGATATACTATGTCGACCTTAACGCTGCGTACATGAGGTTCGTCCAATATATCCCGACTGGAATTCCAAACGAAGATGGTGAGTTCCCGGGAAGGAACTATACAGTTGGAAAAGTCATACAACAACTGTATGATATTAGGAAAGCTTCAAACCCCAAACTTGCAATGACACTCAAATTGCTTATGAATTCGACATGGGGATATTCCATTAAGAAACCTCAAGAGATGAAGAGTAAACATTATGAGAAGGTCGACAACTTTGTTGAAAGGTTTTCTCCTTTTGTTTTGAAGTACGAATTCACTCAAGGTCAAAGTGGCTTAGTAACCACATTAAAACCTATTGTCGAACATTGGTCTTACCCTCAGTTCGCAAAGGCAGTCCTTGACAACTACAACAAATTTTTCTCCGAGGTCAAATCCAAAATTGTGGTTTACTATGAGAACATTGACGCACTCATGACGAACGAAGAAGGATACAACAAACTCATTGAAATGGGCATGGTCGGTGAAAAGATGGGCTGTTTTAAGCTAGATAAGGTATTTTCTGAAGTTCATGTTCTCTCCAAGCGAAAGTACTGGGCTGTTAAAGAAGATGGTGAAATAGTTAAACATTGCATGAAGTAAAACATTGCATGAAGTAAAACATTGCATGAAGTAAAACATTTTTTAAAACAGTATATTTTTACATATATTAAATGTTTCAGGTTGAAAAACAAAGAACAAAAGGAGCAGATACAAAACCGTTAGACTATATCTTTACAAATGCTGGTAGGACAATATCAGATGAAGAAATTTCATCCCGTACTTACAGGTTTGACTATCCAATTCGTTGGCTTCAAAGTCCTTCAGATGCAAAGGCAATAGGATTTAGAAGAGTTTTGTTTTCAAATAGAACTAACGCTTTTATGTTTGCAGTATATTTTCATGGTCAGTATAGAGGTCCTAATGGTCTAATAGACAAATTTGATGAAATGAGAATCTTTACAATTCGTTCAGACGAAAGTCTTGAAAAAACTCTAAATGACTTTCAAACTCAAATAAACAAATACTACTGGGAATTTCAAGAAAAATACGATTCTTTACTAAATGGAACATACTATCTGAAACTAGAATATGACAAGATGAACTCCACAGTTTCATTTCAAAGGATTGAAAATAACCCTCCAAGAGATACACAGTTTTTATTTTGGGAAGTAGACAAACGTTCTTGGGCACAATTTCTTCGGTTACTAAACCAGAACGAACCATTACCACCTGACGGTCCGTTTAAATTTATACGCCCACCAACAGATTTGACAGTTTATAGAAACGTGTTTGACCCTCAAAATGTTATGTGTCATGCAAATTTCAGTTCAAGCAACAATAGTTTTCTGTGTATCGGTAAGGACTTTTATGACTTTGCTTCTAAATTCTACGAACCACCTAGTAACAGTTTCTCTGACTTTCAAGTTTGGTTCACAACAAATGGTGTGCAACATATAATACCATTGTACTATGACTTTTATCTCGAATTGTCTTTCATATACAACTACGGAAAAGTGCTGAAAAAGTATTGAATGTGAAGATATTAGAAAATAACATTTTTTCTAACATCGTAGAAAACTCATGAAAACAATTTATTTTTGTGAATATGTAAGCGGCTCATAGCTCAGTGGTATGGGCTACCTCGTTAAAGGCGTCGAAGACCTCGGTTCAAATCCCGATTCGCGCAGGTTTTTTCCTTTTATGCAGTGAAATTTCATGTACATAGGTTACTTTGGTGTTAGACCCTAGTGAAGAAAATAGAACGATATAAGTTTACATTTGTAAAGTTGGACGATAAAAATCTCTGCTACTGTCAGTAAAAGTACTGCTACTGTCAGTAAAAGTACTGCTACTGTCAGTAAAAGTACTGCTACTGTCAGAAAAAGTACTGCTACTGTCAGTAGCAGTACTGCTAGGAGCAGTAAAAGTACTGCTACGAGCAGTAAAAAGGAAAATTTGAGAGGGTTTTCGACGATAAAGTACTGCTACTGTCAGTAAAAGTACTGCTACTGTCAGTAAAAGTACTGCTACTGTCAGTAGCAGTACTGCTAGGAGCAGAGATTTTTATCGTTGTGGTCCGACGGTTAAGCCACCAACGAATGTCCCACGTCCCACCAACCGAGTCCAATCTCAATCCAGAGGAACCTAAAGCACCAGCCCCTGCACCTCAGTTCCAGCAATTCCAATCTCAATCCAAATTACTACCAATTCCAATACAAATCGAAGAAGGTCTGAACCGCTTACGCAAAGAGTATGCTACAGCTCCAATTGAGAGAAAGTTGTTGCTAAATTCAGACAAAAATAATGTTTAGGGTAGATGGGTATATCTAACCTCTTTTCTAACCTCTTTTCTAACCTCTTGAATTTTCATGACTTCTTCGTAAATGTTTTGTCATGACTTCTTCGTAATGAGTGTAAAGGACCCAAAAATAATGTTTAGGGTAGATGGGTATATCTAACCTCTTTTCTAACCTGTTTTCTACCCTCTTGAATTTTCATGACTTCTTCGTAAATGTTTTGTCATGACTTCTTCGTAATGAGTGTAAAGGACCCAAAAATAATGTTTAGGGTAGAAGGGTATATCTAACCTGTTTTCTAACCTGTTTTCTACCCTCTTGAATTTTCATGAATTTTCCCGAAATAAAAAAATAAAGTTAGTTTTATTTTTTTATTTTTTTTTATTTTGTATGTAAGGACAGATATGTCATTCGAAGCAAAAACGTTCACGAACAAATATAATGGCGAAACATTCACAAAAGGCACTTATAACGGTATTGAAGTCTTACGTAGAGACAAGGATGGTTATATAAATGCAACAAATATGTGTCAGCAGTTTAGGAAAGACTTTAGAAAGTTGTTGGAAAATAAGTCCTGGGAAGAGTATTATAAGGCATTTTGTGAAGAATATAGCAACCGCCAGAATTCTTCCGGTTGCTTTTTATACAAAATTCATGCAGGAATTCCTGATGAAATCAAACAGGTTAGAGGAACGTATGTAGACCCAAGACTTATAAACTATATAGCAATGTGGGCTTCTCCAAAATATTGCATAGCAGTTGGAAAAATTATGGACTCCATAGACAAGAAAGTTCATGAGAAGTTAGATGAAGAAGAACTTGAAGATACAGTAGAAAATGCTAAACCTTTGTTCGAACAAGAAGTTAGAAAAATGTGCGGAAAACAATTAGAACATGAACGTGAGATATGTTATGGTTATAGAGACTCTCCATACGAACTAGACCAATGGGAACAAGAAGATTTAAAGAGAGAATTTAGAGAATATGAACTCGCTAAGATAGCATTTGAAGCTGCAGAAAAGAAGTTAAAAGTTTGGGGTCGTTTTGTAAAAAAATATTGTGAGTAAATGAACCATTTATTTTTATTGAATTCAGCAAAAATAATGTTTAGGGTAGATGGGTATATCTAACCTCTTTTCTAACCTCTTTTCTACCCTCTTGAATTTTCATGAATTTTCCCGAAATAAAAAATAAAGTTAGTTTTTTTTAAAAAAATATTTTTTATTTTTATTGTAAGAACATGTTAGCAACAACAGCACCAAACTCGTTAGTCATGAACCCAACTTCAATGTTAGTAGAGATGAAAAGCTTCATTCCTTCTTCATATACTTTCGAAACAGAAATCCAGAAGATAAAGCAAGAACTTCTCCAAGGAGATTTAGATTGCACTGCAAAAGATGAAACAGATGAAGAATATCTTTATGAAATGCAGGATATTATTGACCATCTACCTAAACTTCCTGAAATCCAACAACAAAAGCTTACTATTCCAGAATTCGATGAAATAGAAGTCAAAGCAACTGACTCAGTAGAAATAAAGAAGTTCATACGAAAGGTTAACTATGAGTTTCTTGGATTTCATTGCAACCACAAAGTCATGGACAAAGATTGCGATATGGTATATAAGAACATCTCTGACATATACAAATCTGGGGAGTTTAAGACCTACGACAACTTTGTTTCGTTAGTTGCTGAATGTGTATGGCAGATAAGAGATAAAGATAGAAGAGGTAAGATATGGAATGAACAGATAAAACCCGCAACTTTTGAGTTAAAGAGAGCAATTGACGCCTTAGTCATACTAGCAGGTAAGGTTTCAGAATATAACGCAAAAATGAACCCACAATGTTCTAAATGTAAAGCAGCAATGAGGAAATATAACTACTCCGTCAAAGAGATAGAACGTATGCGAAACGACTATGCTGACTTAAAGAGGGAGGCAGAGAAACCAGCAGAAGATAAAATGGACATGTTGACATTTCTAAACAAAAACTATCCAACAGCTGACGATTTCCTTCTTTCAGATGTCAAGAAGAAATATAAAGAAACCTTCGGCATTGTTAAAACATTCGATGTACTGACAGAAGAAATAGAAGCTACGAAATTGTTTAGAATTTCACGAATTCACAATGTTTACCATGTAAAACGCTTATAAAATAACTGGGGTAGAAAAGAGGGTAGATATCAGGTTAGATCTACCCATCTACCCTAAACATTATTTTTGTCTGATTTACGCTCATTACGAAGAAGTCTTGACAAAACATTTACGAAGAAATCTTGACAAAACATTTACGAAGAAATCATGAAAATTCAAGAGGTGAGAAAACATTTACGAAGAAATCTTGACAAAACATTTACGAAGAAATCATGAAAATTCAAGAGGTGAGAAAACATTTACGAAGAAATCATGAAAATTCAAGAGGTGACAAAACATTTACGAAGAAATCATGAAAATTCAAGAGGTGACAAAACATTTACGAAGAAATCATGAAAATTCAAGAGGTGAGAAAACATTTACGAAGAAGTCTTGACAAAACATTTACGAAGAAGTCTTGACAAAACATTTACGAAGAAATCATGAAAATTCAAGAGGGTAGAAAAGAGGGTAGATATCAGGTTAGATCTACCCATCTACCCTAAACATTATTTTTACTGAAAAATGACCAAATTTCATGAATTTCCTTAAGATAGAAAAAATAAAGTTAGTTTTATTTTTTTATTTTTTTTTTATTTTGTATGTAAGAACAGAAATGTTAAACATTGAGTTTGAAACAGTTAGAAAGATAGACAATGACACCAAATTGGTTAGAATAGGTGATTTAAACGTAAGATACTCAAAGAAATACAACAAATATTCTTTGTCAGACATTATATCTCCATCTGGAAAGAAAACATGGCATTGGGTTGGAATTGCTTCAACTCAGAAAATTTTGACAAGAAATCCTGAGCTTATGATATCGGTAAGATTCTGTGGAACTACAGCATATCTCATCGACAAAAGTCTCATATACAATAGTTTTGTTATGGATTGACCCAGTTGTTGGATATAACTTCATAACATATGGTTCGTTCGACTCAGAACGTTGCAGTGAAGGCTTACTTTACATCGTTCAGAAACCGAAGGACTTCAATACAAAAAGATATAAGATAGGAAGAACATATAATATAACTCAAAGATATGACAGTACAGTCAATAGAGTCAAGGTTGTGTTCGTTAACGATATGAGAGCTGCAGAAACAGAACTACTTGAAAAGTTTGAGAAAATGTATGGTGCTCCCATAAAAGGTAAAGAAACGTTTGAAGTAGATGAGATAGATAAAGCTATAAAATTATTTGACAAAGTTGCTGAAAAATACATGTAAAGCGTTTATTTTTGGTCTTTTGTGAAAGTCAGAAAATAAAGTTAATTTTATTTTTTTTATTTTTTTATTTTGTATGTAAGGACAGATATGTCAACAACAGAGAACACAACAACAGTTATAGTCCATGAAGCTATAAATGAAGAATATGAGTGGGTTCAGTTTAACAAACAACTCCGTCTCATTCGTTCGGTCAAAGACGATATGTACCAAATGCAAAGTATTTTGACAGCATGTTTTGCTCCAGATACTAAGCTTCCTAAAGACTGGTTTAGGAACCAAAGCACACAAGAACTTTTGAGCGAAGCACAGCGAGACATACTTTTTTCTGAAAACAGTGAAGAACAGCGAGTAGGGAAGAAACCCCAGTCGCCAAAACTCTATGAAAATCGTGAAAAATTGCCAAACGGTTTGAGAGGATATTATGTACATAGACTTCTTGTAAATGCTGTTGCAATGTGGGCTTCACCTCGTTACGCTTGGAATATTTACAGACTTCTTGACGAAATTCATAGACAAGAACGTGAAGAGCTAGAGAACAAGCTTGAAGCAAAAGACAAAAGCATTCAGAAAAGAATACCACGTTCGGTACCAAAAGGTAAGGAAAAGAACTATAAGTATATGATTTATACTGAAGAGATGGAAAATGAAGAAGACAGAGATATGGTTATGTTGCATTTAGTCAGAAGAAACAACAAAAGCTTTTACGACCTTGCTAAGATTTACAAATCTGACAGAAATTGGTTCTATCGCGAAAACTTACCGATTTCAATGACACCGAATGAAGATGTGAAACAAATAGTTCAAGATACGTTACCTCAAACACACTATGATATTAAAGGTTGTACAATTCTTACCTTCAAAGAAGATTTGCCATTGTTAAAGGAAAAAATAACAGAGTATTTTGACAACTTCAAACAAGCAGAGTAAATGAACCATTTATTTTTATTGACTTTTTACAATTTGAACTTTGTTCGCGTAGATATGAATTCTGAAAGAAGTATGAGGGTCTTGTATGACTTTGTACTTCTCCATAGTTCATGTCTGTCAAACTTACCTGCCATGGACTCTTTCATAAGTTCCATGAAATCGTCTTCGGACAATCCGGGGAAAAGTACAATGTCAGTAAGTATTCTTTTAACATCCTTACTTAAACTCTTTGCTGTCTGTACACATATTACGACTGAGATGTTAAAGTGTCTGAGCTTCTTAAGAATTCGACACATATCTTGTTCTCTATTCTTAAGCAAAGGATGAGAAGCAAAGTCATCTAAGATAAGAAGACATCTATGAGGGTAAGTCTTCCAATCGTAAGATTGCAATTTCTTCGAAATGTATTCTATCTCTTTCTGTTTGTTTCTGAAGTGTTTCTTCTCTAATATTCTCTGCATTTCCTCATTAGGTTCTTTAAACTTAGAATTTATATACTCATTTATAGCATTATACTTCAAAACTCTTCTTTGGTACTTCTTTATCCAATCTAACAACTCAGAGTCTTTTATACATACTAACTTAGACTTCTTTATAATATCTTTGAACGAATTGACGGTTTGGTCAAATTGACCAGAAGTACTACAAATAACAACCAACTCATAGAATGGGTTCTTCTCATCTAGTTCTTGTTGTTGTGCAGCCATTTAAGATAAGTGAAAGTCTTACCCGACCCAGGTGGTGCAATTAGACCTGTTATACCATTCTGAGCAAATAAGAACTTGTCATGTATAGGCTTTATCTGAGCATTTTCTAACTTCCTCTTGTTCTTATTTAAAACATTCTCAAATTTCTTGTCAATGTCAGCAAACTTTTTTTCTAACATATTTTTAGAAAAATTAAAATTTTTATCTTTTAGAAAATGTCTAGCGATTTCGCTATCTATATTCGAGACAAGCTTTTCGACAGCAAAACATCTGTCGACCATAAAATCTTACATAGTGTAAACAAGAAAGGGGAATTTGTTCTAAAGTTCTGTTTCTGGGAATATGACAAGAACCATAAAACATTAGGCAGAGAAGTCTTTAAGTTTGTCAATGACAGACTTGTTGACAGAGATGACGCCGATTGGAGAGATGAAGTCCAACAAAACTTCTTAGAATGCAAAGAAGACACATGCGCTGTTCTTGAAGATGAATAGAAAACAGAATAGATGAGCTATTAAAGGACAAAGAACTTTTACATAAATATGGTTGCGCCAAATTTGACATAACTCCACCAGAAAAGAAGAAGAAAGAAAAGAAAGAAAAGAAAGTAGAAGAAGAGAAGAAAGAACCTGAACCAGTTCCAGAGAAAAAGAAATTTGACATGTAAAATAAAATTTTATTTTTAGAACATTTCTGGGTCAATGTCAATGTTCTCTTCCTCTTTAGGGGCAAACACTGGCTTAGACTCTAAAATCTTTTTACCCAATTTACCTTGAACTTCAACTATCTTAGACTCATAATATTCATAGTCGTCTGCTTTCTTTGGTTCATAAGGTATAACAAGTTTGTATGCTTTGCCTTCTTTAAGGTTTGAGAACCTTCTGTCAAAATTTTCTTTGACTGCTAAAAACCTTCTATGTCTAAGTCTTCAAATTTCGCACCATTTTTAGTCACAATAGCAAACTTAACTGGTTCGATGTTCCAAACTTTGCTGAATGAAGACTTTTCAAAATGGTAGAGTAAACATTCAAATATGTGAATGGGTCTAGTTCTTCTTTAAGTCCTGACATGTACTTGTTTACTGAGATGAATTTTGCCATCTTTTCTATCGGATAAAAAAATATTTTTTTTAAAATTTACTCATAAAAATTTTTCTTTGTATATACACCATTCTGTACGTCTAAAAGACTTTTGACATTTGCCAAGAATGTTCGTTTAGACGCTGTCATATAACCATATTCTTGACAATATTGTTTATACGAATCGTACAATGACCTTTCATCTAAACACTCAAAGTCAGTTTCATCTATGAACAGTTCATATACACTCTTGTTTGCTTCTAACAATGTTTGTCTCTCTTCGGTATGTGGAATTTGTCTTGGATTGAACTTAGAAATATCTAATGTCATAAAATATGAGAACAAGTGGTTGTAAAAGTCAGATGTCAAAGTTTCTGCTAAGTCGTCAAAATATTCTGTATCTTGCATATGAGAATCTGACGTTCTGACAACTACATATCTTCTGTCAGAACTTTCTAATTTCATCGGAACAGAATTGTTTGAAACCATAATGAAGTTTGCAACATTTTCACAAACTCTTTGGTCTTTATATTTTCTTTCAACAACTCCAACTTTGTCTGTTATAAGACTCTTCAAAGCATCTGAGTTCAAAACTTTTGTTGTATCTATACTTTGAAGTTCATTGCAAACTATAAGTTTCATATTCTCTATTGAGGAGTTAAACTTGCCACAGATGTTTTCTAAGTTTGTCATATTCGGATTCGAATAACCTTCTAACAGTTTGCACAAAATATCTGTAAAGAATGTGTTCTTACCAGTTCCTTGCTTTCCAATTATAATGAGAGCAGTTTCATTTTTAGCACTTGGATGTTGTAAGATGTTTGCAAACCAACATAAGATATACTCATAGACTCTTTCGTTTCCATTGCATATAATTTCTTTGACATGGTCTAACCAAGCTTCTATAATATTTTCTTTCCATTCTACTTGTTCGTATTTATATCCAGTGAAGATAGAATAGAAGTTTGGAGAAGGTGTATAAAACTTTATACCTCGAACTGAAAAATCTTCTAACTTTGACAATAAGATATCCCAAGCATCTAACATCTTCATGCCAACTTGTACAACTTTTATTTTCT